GAAATCATTAACAATTGTTTCACCGAGAAACTGTGACCCGTATTAAACTCCATTTTATTGTCAAGGAATACTGAGCAATTTGTTACATTGCTAGAATGTTCCTAAATTAGTATCGAGCTCGAAACAAACGTAGAAAATAGAAATTTTTGTAATAAACGGTTACAAAAGATAGTCGATGTGTCAATAAATTAATTAAGATAATTATTGACCATCGCGCAGGATCTCTCTTCCCGACGTTCCGTATTACAGTAATGTCTCTCTAATTGACGCTCGGATTGTCCAGAAAAATGGACAATTTGGGAAGAGGAGATACGATTAATTTTGAGTCTTGCGCCTCGTTTTTATAGTTGTTGAGAATCGTTAATTATAAAAACGAGGCGCAAGACTCAAAATTAATCGTATCTCCTCTTCCCAAATTGTCCATGTTTGTGCACAATCCGAGCGTCAATTACAGAGACATTACTGTACAGTAATGCGAACGTCAATTAGGAAGATAATACTGTACAGTAATGTCTCCCTTACTGACGCTCAGATTGTCCACAAAAGTGGACAATTTGGGAACAAGAGATAAGATTATTCGAGCCTTGTAGCTTGTTTTTTAATAGTTGATGACAATTTGTAACTATAGCAACGAACCGCAAGGCTCGAATAATCGTATCCGTTCTTCCCGAATTGTCCATCTTCGTGCACAATCCGAGCGTCAATTAGGGAGACATTACTGTAAATTTTCGCGTCTGTCCGCTTTTTACCGGTACCTCGTCTTTTCACGGCACCCTCTATAAAATGAACGCTAATGTTTTTCTTGTTTACTGCGAAACGCACTTGAACCGGGGATCATCTCGTCACACACGGAATTCTCGGTCCTTGTTATTGTGATAATAAGGAATTTTACAATACGTCTATCGGACACTTTAGTCGGTTGCGCCGGGCATAACACTACGGTAAACGTTTTACAGCCTTTATTCATAGCATTCAAATAGTTAGAGATATTCAACGTACTATCACAATATATGTATATTTTGCTAGACAATTTACAGTAAATTTATTACAGAATTCCTGGACACACCATCATGCAATCCTTAAGCTGATAACCCTTTGATCACCTGGTCGCTTGACTGTTTTCGTTGCCAGCTTATATAGAGGGTGGAACAAACGTATCGCGAAACCCCTTCTCGAGAAGTTATCCTCGTTCTGATGATCGGTTGACGCCATAAACTGTACACAGCAGATATAAAAAATATTCCCTATATTTGACCAATGAGAGAACGCGTACGGTCGACGCCCCGCCCTCGCGACCACCGCCGCTGCGTCATACAGTCGCCACGACGCGGCATTGGTCGCAGGTGTGGGGCGCCGGCCGCACTCGCTCTCCGATTGGCCAGCGTTTTTCCTTAATAACTCGTCAACGACGCCTCGGAGAACATTTTTGTAAACGAGAAAGTTGCTTCGAATGACCTCAGGAATCCCTCACGACCCAGAAGTACCATAATTATAGGACATCCTGCATACGGTAGCGATGAAAAATCGCGACCAGCGAAACGTGACGCAGAAAACATTGTATTATACAAGGGTTCCATGAAATTCGAATAATTCCTGAACGCGTGGAGAGGGCAAGAGACAGCCAACGACATAACGTCTCCAAAAAAACGACATAACATCATTAAAAAAAGAAATTCGCCGTAACTGGAAAACAGAGCTAAATAGGACTTACGATTGCATGAAATTCTGTCTACCGTTTCCATGCGCAGAATCTATTCCTGAAAAGGGCCCAGTGTGCAATGAGACACCCTGTATACCGCGTCGCTGGCACAGCGAATGATATTCCATCGGAGCTTCGGCGGCTCGGGAAAAATTCCGTCTCCGAATAGGGCGGTCCGAGGGTGTTTCTCCGTGGCTTAGGTCCAAACGACGCGACAATGCAACGGCGCCAGGGAAACGGATCCGGCGCGGCGCGACGCAATTTTCATACGCTAGCGCGCCAGCCGATGCGTAAAAACTGCGGGACACTTCGGCTCCTCCACATTATACGGTGTAACATGTGCCTGTCCGTGTCCGTAGCCCGTGCCGATGGTATCTGCATGCCACTTAACCATTACGTTTTACGAGGTGGATGGACGTGAAGCACCGCGGCCTCCGCTCCCCCCTGTCCCCGTCACCCCCCTCGTGTCCTCATCGGCCGGCAACAGGTTACGTCCGTTACGTGGTCGTCTTAGCTTCTTCCATCCGGCCTGCGGCCGGCGACGAAAGAAAATATTTTTCCTGGCATCCGCGGCGTCGCCGCGGACTGGACACGGGCAAACAGGATCGGGCATATCCCGGTGTATCCCCGTGAAATTTACCGCGACCGTTCTAGCATTCGAACGTTCTCGCCGGATCGACGGGCCGCTCCTATGACACCGTAAACCGACGCGTCCCCGTGAATTTATATCTTCTCCTCGGCCGAACAAGCGGACGCCGAGATAACCGGTGCTAAGGCGAGCAGGGAAGAGCCGGGGTTTGGGGGTCGCTCGGTACGCGCGCGGTGCTAAAACTTTCCATTCTAGATAAACGAAGTTATTGTTGAACAATTCGTGCTGGTTTCGCACATGTTGGGATCGTGAGCGTAATTGTAGAATCACGGTTAAATAAATTACGCTTACGATGATGAAAATCGATCGTTCTCTCGTTGTGTGCGCCATCGAAATATCCGAGGAAGCTGTTTTTTATTTTGGGAACCAACGCGCGAATGTTATTGCATAATATTATATATTATTATATTATATTAGATATTAATATTATATATTATATATTATTATTATTATTATATATTATACATTATATATTATTATTATTATTATTATTATTATTATTATTTATATATTATAGTTATTATATATTATATTACATATTATATATTATTATATATTATTATTTATTTATATATATAGATTTTTTGCGTACAAATTTGTGCTATTTTATGAACGACTGTGTAACATTATGTTTAAGAGAAATTGTATAAGGGACGGTGGATTTTAATTTGTGGAAGCGTTGATTTTACTTGCAGAAGGGGTGAGTTTGATTTGAAAAAGGATGAATGAAACTTGCGAATGTGTTAATTTGATTTGCAAGAAGGTAAATTATAGTATGTACGATCTGCGGGAGGATATCGAAGTGCGAGAAGGTGAACATGACCTTCAAAAGTATTAATTTCGTTGTACAAAAAGGCGAACGCGACGGACGAATGGATTAAAGCGCTTGAATTTGTTTAACGCGGTCGATGCGTCCGAAACTCGTCGACAATATGAAATATACGTACGTATATGTCTGTAACAACTGCAATGAATTTTCGCCGTGAATTTTCATCTTTCTCCAACAGCTGGAACGTGAACAGTTTTTATATCGCACGATTATGAATATGCATATCCGGATTCATGAATCCAAATAGTTGCTACTATGATACTATTTAAAAGCTTGAACATTTGTCATGTTTTAGGACTGAAAATTTCAGATCTACATAATTTTACATTATAGATTTTCGCTTTTCTCCAATAGGAAACGAGTATTCAAATTCTGAACCAGTACACATATTCGATTCAAAAAGTATCCGTGTTATTTAATATAAATAATAATTTGTTAAACGTAAATTAGGTCATTTGGTGAATTCTGAATCAAATTCAGGATCACAAATGCTGTCTTTAAATAAACTATCGGGAACTGTCAATCGGTTGTGTAGAAATTATTTGAGTAGATCTTTAACCTCAATATCGAATGAAAATGCAGAGGTTAAAGAACAAAAAGGTAAATAATAATACGTAAATAATAATAATAAGTATTTTATAATACATTTATACAGTTTTATTTGCATCTGTTTTTAGAAAAGAATATTTTAACAGACC